CCGGACTATAAGGCGCACTTCCGGGTTTGGGGAAAAATTTTAGTCAAAAGGGTGCGCCTTATAGTCGTGAAATTACTGTACTCTATCAGACAATTCTCACTATACTTTCTTTGTTGTTACCTTGTAGATTTTGCTACTTCCACAAAACACCACATTGGAAGAAATATACCACAAATCTCCATTTACCTTCTTGCAGTTATATTCCACTTCCATATTTAGCTATGTTTAAAAAGGTTTATTGCTGCTCCTGGTATTGATAGTGTTACCATGTTAAAAGAGGTCTACATACTGTCATATATTTTAATGTCCTTAAATCTGCATTAAAGTCAAGCAAATATTAGACAAATCCTTCTTAGCCAGCTAACAAAAATTTCACCTATTCCTTTATTTGTACAGTTGACTCAGTTGACTGAACTCTCTTAAATAAACTACACACAGTCAATGACTTAAACAGAAGATACGCAGACAAAAATGTGACCAACAGGACAGAGAAAATCAGATCTGGTTTCCAGTGAATGAGCACAGTTCATACCCAGCAAAGCTTGTTCATCAGCGTGATTTTGCTAAATGCCCAAGACCAGAGGGATATGCACAAGCAGGTACAGAAGGTACATGTGCACAAGTTTTGCCTTTCAGTTGCAGAACTGGAACTTAATCTGCAGTTGCCTTATGTGTTTTCTGTCATGTGAGGAAGCCAGGAGGTTTGAGATTGTAACTTTGGTAGCTACCCACCATATTCATAAACACTCAGGGGAAGTTTCAATAAATTAGAACATCTCCAACCAACAATTACTCCAATAGTTTTCTCCCCTGAGTCTTCTTTTCTTGCTTCTGCTATTAATACTGGAAAGGAAAATTACTGGTTTTGGTGGAGGTTTTTTTTTGTTTTGTTTTGTTTTGTTTTGTTTTGTTGAGGGTTTTTATTTATTTATTTATTTATCTATTCATATTCCTTTTATGGTTTGTTTCTTTTTAATAAAAAAATAAGAGTTTTAAGTGTTTTTAATTTTCCTCTTAATAAATCAGAAAGCATTTTTTATTTACATTCCAATGGTTTTTTTTGACTAGTGAAGATGTATTTGGAGTCTTTGCAATTTTTCTAAAGTTGGGAGAAAAACTATGAAAGATGCATTTTTCACTCTGCAATTCTGTAAGTTTTTTTATAAAGTTAAGAGATAGAATGCTTTTTATTTTATAATATATAAAGCATTTTTGTTTTATATGTGTAAATTCTTAATAAGAGACACCATCATATTTAGGAGACAGATTAAGGTCATGAGCAGATTTAATTTCATTATGTACCTCATGATGCTCCAGCAGTTCCTAGAGTAGAAGCTGATGGGGCTCGTCTTCACTCCCGTCCTGATAAAATTAATGTTTTGAAATGAAAGAATTAAAAATCTCATACTGACAACTGGGTTAAATTCTGTTAATATTCACAGTTGGGCATGAGCTGCAGCTGTTAAAGATTTCTCTTATATGCCCATGTCCTTTTCCATGATTAAGTGACATGGAAAAGGAATATTTGAAATAAACAAAAATAAAAATCCTCAGCTGGAATAATTTGGCATCATTTTTTCACTTTCTTGGTATGTAACCCAGCTTTCATGCTCCTGGATCAATTTCCAGCATCTAACTAAAACATGAAAAGGAGAAGCTGGTAGGAAAGATCACTAAGCAGTGCAACAGTGGAGAGGAAGTGGGGTCCTGCAGGAACTTTTCAGTTTGCATATGTGAGACTTTCTCTATATACTATAAATCTTAGAAGCAAGCCTAAACTTAGTGAAGCACAGATGTAAAGACAGATTGTGAGTACGACCGAATTTAATTCTTCTCACAGTGAGCTCCAATGACTCACGAGATATATATATTTATTTAAAGATATATGTGTCTCAAATAAATAGTTAAAAGCCTAGCTCACCTCTACTAAAAATAACAGTAAATTGTTTAACATTTTTGGCAATTCTATTTGTTTGTTTCAGTCTTCAAAAAAACCAAAACATATTGCTTGGGATTTGGGATTGGTTAGATGTGTATTCACCCTGCCTGGGATTGAGTATAACCTACTGAAACAAAAAATTATGTCAAGCTACAAAGATCTATATTATGAACAAGACTGAAAAAGATGAATGTATATTCACTGGATGAAGGGGATCACCAAAGCTATCCATGAAAGGGTTATAACGTTATAACAGAGATTAAATCAAATCCAAGCCCAACTCTAAATTTAAAGATGAATAAACAAACACTAAAGACATTGTTCTTTGAAAAATTAAAGAATTAAAAGAACAAAAAAAAAATTAAGAAACGTCATTTCTCAAAGGCTAATACACCTGAAGTATTTAAAACAAGGAACTATCACAACTATGAGCTCTAGCAATCAGAAAATGGAAGCTGGGGAAAAAAAAATTATTAGACAAAGAGTCAAAGGGAAAACTAGGGATATGGTTTCAAATTGAAGGAAAATCACCACAAGCAGGGGCAGGAGATAAGACAGAAAGCTGGACCTTATCAGCATATATTTTTATCCAGGCTCCTAAATAAATCACAGGCTTTTTTGTATTTATGTGTTTGTTCAAATACTTGGATTTGCTGGTTTTTGTGTTGCTGTGGTTATTACATTTAATTGAGAATTTACTCCCATCATGTCCCAGTACAATCAATAGAGGTGGCATCTATATTAAAGCAGAACAAAACAAAACAATTGTCACCTTTTCTCCTCTTCCCTCTCCCTTGCTTGTTAATTCTAGCATCTTGACAACCAACACCACAATCTGTAAACAAGTTTTATTACAAACCAGCAAAGAGTTTAAAAGTATATTTCTCTCTAACCATGCAAGCTCTTATTAATTTTTCTTTGTGGTTTGATTGTAGCCTTAATTATCCTCTTGGTTTAGTTAGATTTGATAATTTTAATACACATAATTTTTTCTTTGAGATAGGATTTAGGAGCAAAAACAAGGCAGGACTAAAACTTAAAAGGGTGTCAAGAAGAAATGTATTAATAATACAGAGAGAAAATAAGAAATTCAGAATAAGATTTTTCGGATTACTCCCTCCTCCCTTTACCTTCCACATTTCTTAACAACAACGTACAGAGACACTTCAGTCAGTCTTTTATTTAAATAATTATTTCAGTCTACTTTAGAGAGAGAAGTTTCTTTTCGTTTGGCTATAGGGATCTTTTCCATGAAAAGAAGAATGTTTTCTTGTGTTTTCACTTTCACGATTTGCATCCACCCAAGAAAATCTGCAATATTGTGAAGCTTCTCCCATCTTTGCAGCCTTCCCAGAGGTGTGCTTTGTGGGCCATGTTAAACTTATGAGGTATTACTTTTAAGGGCAAGTTGCTCAAAGATAAAAGTACTCTTCTTTTTTTTTTTTTTCATCAAATGTCTCTGTTTGTCTTTCTATTCTTCAAAACAGAGACCACCATTACCTTGGGGCAAAGGATTCTTTTCTAAAACACTTTAACCCCCCTATGCATTTTGCCATGATTTACAGGAATTTTCAGTGTAGTCCAGTCTACCTCATAGATTACAAAATTGGTTTTTTTAGCCAACTTTCCCGGCATCTTTTCAATGTCTTCCCATTTGGAAACTGGATTCTTACTTTACTGACTATTGATAATTGATGAAAGTGATAATTGATAAAAGATTTGTGTTAATCATAGAAGTATTGGGGTTTAGATAAACCAAAATACAAAGGTCTGAAGTGAAGCATGGACCCTTGATGGAGGAAAAATGTGATTAAATCATTCTATTTTAAATCTCCGTTAAGAATGTTATGTTCCTAAATAATTTGTATCTACTACAAGTTTGTAAAATCAGACTTTCCAATAGTTGGATAGATTTTGCAAAATCAGACTTCCTGCCTTTGTTTTATCAATGACTGCCTATCTACAAAGACCAGAACTTTACGATTTCTGCTGGTTTTATCTACCAAGACCAGATGGTTATCTATGGGACTGACTCCCAGAGACTTCACATGGATGTTTGTTTCAGCCACCACTGCTTGCCTGGCAAAATTGTGACA